GTGGAAAAAGGTCCAGGACTCTGTTCCCTGGAACATTATCCTCTTGCTTGGAGGCGGCTTTGCAATGGCCAAAGCTTGTGAGGTAACGAGTTTCTTTCCCCAAATGAGCTTCGTACTTTAAGTCATAAACTGATTGCAGTCACAGCTTATTTGTCTAGCCTTTATGTTCTCTCCTAACATGAAACAGCCAATAGTTTGCTGTAGCTTAAAAGCAATTCCTGGAAAAATTAGTCAATAAAGTCTGAGAAAATAAAAACTAGAATAGTAATTGGAGGATCAGTGCAACGAATTACCTCATAAAACTCATGTCGAAAAACGGGAACATCTTTTTCTCTGATAATTAAAACCTACGTAAATATACAATTTAAACCAAATGTTTATATATTTTCTCATATTTTACTTTAAAACCAGAATAATATTTCACGTTTTAGTTGAGTATGGATTCGCAAAATTGTTTTGTTTTGCTAAATTTAAAAATAATAGCAATACAGAATCTAATAGCATAAGATTCTGTATTATTAAGGACTTTCTTCATATTTAGAAGTTCACAGTTACAAAAAATACTATGATTATTTTTTGTAACTAGATAAATAGATATTTGTAACACTTATAAGGGTGAGTACATGTAAAATGAACATTACGTCTTCATTGTGCAAAATTCTCCATCCATTTGATGCTCATGTTGCATCGTAGTTCAGAAAGTTGACCTGATTGAACAACCAACGTGATTTTCGGATTCAGCTCGTAAAACTGACCCTAAAACAGGTGAAAAACCCCAGACAATTATTTTGGCTGTTGACCAGTGTAATTACCGACACGAGAACTCACTCTTTGTGCGAACAGTGGATTTTTTTCTGCTATTATTAGTTTTTTCATCATGGAAGTAACGAGCTATATGTGAAAATGTAAGGAGTATAAAGTGCAGATATTTCTCTTAAAATGTAGGGAGTAAAAGTAAAAAGTTTTCAGAACTACAAGTACAGTACAAATACCTGAAAAACCTACTTGAGTACTTTTCCTTTTTTATTTTACAACTCTGCTGTGCTCCTTACTTTCTCTGCTGGTTTTTCTTTTATTTGTTCTTTTCTGAAATGTAGTTTATTATGTTTTTATTTGACCTTTGACCCTTAACCCAGATATTTTGCCTTGCGGCAGGAGTCTGGCCTTGCGTCCTGGATCGGAGGTCACCTCCAGCCCTTGGCTGAAGTTCCCCCAGCTGTAGCTGTCATGTTAATCACTGCTTTCCTGGCTTGTTTCACTGAGTTTGCCAGCAACACAGCAACTATTATCATATTTCTGCCTGTCATTGCTGAACTGGTGAGTCTAACAACTAGAATTATAAAATAAAAATTGTTTCTTATGAGCACACGTGAATATATATGATTTTCCTGGTGAAAAAAGTCTTTACAGATGCTAAATTATACAATTAAACCTTTAAGTTCTTAATGGAGCGCCAGCGATCCAGCCAAACTTGCAGTACCGTAATTCCGCCACACGGTGCGCTAACTGAAAGATTCCAACAGTTTCTGAAAGGGGAGGCGTTGCGCTTTCCAGCCAATGTTGGGTTATTACGGTAATTTCACTCCCGCCGTAGCAGGGGGTGAAATTAATGCGATGAAACGCTTTTAATAGACGGTAAATTATGAAAATAAATTAAAATAAGCAAAAATATCCAGGCGGACATGTTAAATTTAGAACATAAAGGGTTAAATCTGTTTTATGCTTCACTTCAATGTAAACATGCAGATAAATATGGCAGTAAAAGATAAAAACTGGATGTTAAAGCTGTGGACAGTGACGGAGTTTTGGTTCAGTTCTTGTTCTTATTAAGAGCCTCAGCGACTTGTTAAACTCTGGCAGTGGATGTTCTCTTGTTTCTAACCTGTTGGACATTAACTGCTGCTATTATGGTAATGATTACCGAAAGGTTTTATTGCCTTTGCACAAAGAAATGCTTAAGTTTTATCTGCAGGATGCATAGTTTGAAGAATTTGTGTTTAAATTGACGGTTTGTTTGAATTTAAATCAAAATAAAATATGAACTCAAGCTGTTTATATTTGTCTAATTGAAAGACTTAATTAGTCAAACACATAAGAGAATAATCCTGACAAACAACATTTAACGCATTCCAGTTCTAACTGAGTACACTGCAAAAAACACAAAATCTTTCCAGGTATTTTTGGTTCTAGTACAAACATACAATTGAAATAAGACAAAACTAACTTAGAAGTAACTTTTCAGCAAAATATACCAGCTTGCTTTAATGTTAATAATTCATTAATATTGACAAATGAGTACTAGATTCACTGATAGATTATTCTTATAACAAAGGAAAATGTCTTGTTACAAATGAAATAATCTACCAATTGAAATAGTAATTTTTTATAATTATTAAGGAAGTATTGAATCAAAACAAGCTGCTGTATTTTGCTGAAAACTTTCTTGTGCATTTGTTTTGTTTTATTGCAAATGTACTAAGATATTTGCACTAGAAACTAGACTAGAAATACTTGGTAAGAATTTATGTTTTTGCAGTGTAAATACAAAATGCTGTGAACAAATAGGGAAGCAGTGGTTATTTAACCTGTTTATAATAAAGATTAAATAAGAAAGTACACAGTTTTTGAAATGCCACCATTTTGACTGACATTTTTAAAACGTGAACTGGACACAGGCTTTTTCAGGCTATTGTATTGAGTCATATAAACAAACAAATAAAAGAAAAAAATCCAGAGTCTCTTCAATGAAATGAAATGAAATGAAACAAATAAATTAGGTTCAATTTTACTCAGACGTTGAAACTTGAAATTTGAAGTTTCGTCAAAATCCAATATGGCAATATGGTTTGCATATTTGAGTATTTTTATCCATCAGTAATGTATAAAATAATATATTATCACCTTTCTAAAAATAAGAAGTCATTTTTTGCCAAAAGTCTTTTTTTTGCCTAAATCATATTTTGGCAAAACACTTACTGTAGGAAGTTAGATTCCTTGTTTTGTCTGAACAAACCTGGCTCATAAAGTTGATTCTGATTAAAGCGTTTTCCAGTAAGAAGAAAAAGTTAAACATGTCTGAGTGTTTAATACCTTTAAATCCTTTCTAAATGAAATATTGAAGAGCAGGACTGTCTCTGCAGGCCATTCGTGTCTCTGTGAATCCTCTGTACTTCATGATTCCTGCCACTGTGGGATGTTCGTACGCCTTCATGCTTCCTGTTTCCACTCCACCCAACTCCATCGCCTTTGCATCCGGACATCTCATGGTCAAAGACATGGTAACGAACTCACACGACTCGTTCACTTTAAAAACCAGCAGCGGTCCTCATGTTTCCCCTCTGTTTCAGGTGAAAACCGGCTTTGTCATGAACATCCTGGGGATCCTCTCCGTGTCTCTGGCTATGAACACATGGGGCGTCGCCATGTTTAACTTGAGCTCCTACCCACAATGGGCTCACACTGCCAACACTACTGCTGCCTCTCCACGTGTTCACTTCCCGTCCATGAGGTCAACCAACGCCACACTCTGAGGATGTAAATGCAGACTGTATATAGATTTAAGAACTAAAACTACACATGGACACGTCTGTTTTCAAATGTGCTAAAACACCACAGAGCTCTTTTTCTGCTGCTCCTGGCTCTTCTGCCTTTAGGAAGCGTGTTGTAATTATTGCTTCTTATCTTTAATGTTCACTTTGGCTTTAATATTTGTGAATATGCTGTAAAAAATGTTGAATTATCATACACTAACTGGGCCAGAAGTACCAGATGTCGTCAGATGTAAGAATTTGTGTGACATGTAATTCTTAATCCATTGAGTTTAATCTGATGTCGGCACCCTTTCTTCAGTCAAAACAGTTTCAGCTCTTCTGGTTTTGGACTTTTCTTTTACAGAAACCCATTTGTGAGGTCAGACACTGATGTTGGACAAGAAGCCCTGCCTCTCAGTTTCTTCTCCAATTCCTCCTGAAAGTGTTTTAGTGGGTTTAGGTCAGGATCTGTGCAGACCTGTCAGATAACATATGTTTAATAGACCTTCATACGTTGTTACCAAGTCAAGTTGGAACAGGAAGGCCAGTATCTTGGCTTCCTGAAGCCTTAAACGTTGCATTTACTGGAGTTAAATGACTGAGTCTAACTTCCAAAAAGCAAAAACACAAAATCTTACCAAGTATTTTTGGTCTACTTTCTAGTGCAAATATCTTAGTACACTTGAAATAAGACAAAACAAACTTACAATTTTAGCAAGATACAGGAGCTTGTTTAAAGTCAGTTATTCCTCAGTATTAATAAAACTGGCAAATAATCTGCCAGTGGAGCAAACTGTTTTGTTTTATTGACATACAGTGTCTGGATGGTTAGTCAACAACAAAACAGTTGTTTTTTCCAGCAGCCATTGTACAGTTCAGACAGAGGTGAAACCAGCTGATCAAAGTCCTGAAGTATTGCTCAGGTTGCTAGGTGACAGGCTGGGCTTGGCTGGAGTTGCTAGGCAACTGTGGAGTGGCCACTGATTGTGACTTGAAAATTGGGAAGTTTTTGAAACAGCTCATTTTCCAGGCACCAGAAAAACATTAACTTATTGCCAAAAAACTTTCTAGTTTAGCTGTTTTTAGAAGCAGTAGAAATGCAAATTGAAATATAAAAACCTGCTAAATGTGAATTTTGAATAATAGATCCCCTTTAACACTCCAAACATGGCGGAAATATCTCATAACATTATCTTTAGAGCCATCCCAGTAATCTACACAACCTTAAAATTATCAGAAGGAGATGATCGGGTCAAACATCGTCATAATTAGCTTGCCATGTTAACTGGTGTTCGGAGGTCCTGCCACTTTATTTGTACATAAAGCCATTCTTCTTCACGTACACATTTGATCATAGACACAATAGACAACAAATAAATAACAAAATTAGAAAAATCACAGAAAATGTGGCATCAGAACCAGGTAATAGCACCAAAAGCTACAAGTCCAAATCACTTCTAGTTGGTTATAATGGTTGCAACACCTGAGGGAATAATTTTGAGAGAGGACCCAGTACATTTCCCAATGCTGTACATTTAAATTCTGTTTCATAGAGGGTGCTGTTGTGACTTTTTTACACTTATGTTGTTCAGTATATTTGCATAAGTGACTGATTTACAATTATATGTTAAGCATAATTTACATGATGATTATTATTATTAATTGTATTGAACATGATTGTATATAATTACAAAGGCGAAGTGAAATATATTTCAGTGCAAGACATGATTTATTTGAATAGAGGAAGTCTTTTATTTTGAAGAATGCTTAAGGATCTGTTACTGTTTTGTCACTATCTTGCTTTGTTGACTTTTGATTGCTATTGGTAACGAACAGCTGTTGTCCGTTATCAGCTGACGCCGTTTTTTTCCTCTTCAATAAATACTGAACAGAAAGGTTCAGTAAAAGAAATACGAGCCTCCGTCTTGTTTGAGAAGAAGCTTTACTCCGTAACAGGTGCCGTTTGTATTTATTACTACAAGGCCAGTCAAAAAGGAGAGAAACAACTGTGAATAACTTTTATAATACATGTATCACTGAAATTCAGAAAGCGATCATGTTGGTGAATCCTTCTGCACACACGTCCAGTAATTAAAAAATCCCCCAACTATATTGATGAAAGTTAATTATTGAATCTGTTCATTTTATGATTTACCTGCATGTTCTGTCAAAAAAAGTTTTAACACAATGACAAACCGAGTGAATGAAGGTTTTCACACATTTTTGCACATTTTGTCCAAACAGCAGTAAAACCCGTGTTTGCTTGGTGTTATAAAGGATTATTTTGTCACTCTGAAGTCACAAGGCCTTAGAGCAATGGTTAACGTCTGCAAGGCTGCAGAGGTCATTTATTTAGTGCTGCGTCACCAGCAGAAAGCTTTTAATGTTTACATGCAAAACTAGAAAATACTCAACCAGAATCCACAAAAGCAGACTGGATTCAGCTCAAACAGAAACATCAACCTGGATTAAGACCTGTGTGTTTTAATAAGGTTAGATAGAAGAACAATATTTTTTCTGGATTAAGTTTTTCGCAAGGTATGCTTGTGCATTGTGGGTGTAGCTTTTCTGTCTGCACCTGTTTAATTTTGCTATTGCTTTCTGTGGTTTTCAACAAGAAAAAAGAATTTATGAGACGAGGAGACTGACTGTTTCTCACTAAATTGTCACTTCTTAAGGAAGATAATAATTTGAATCCAGTCAGTTTCTGATTTTTGGGGAATAATATCCTGTTTTACCGCAAAAAAGCATAAAAAGCATAAACAGCACCCCCGCTGAGGAGGTTGTTTATTAATACTTGGGCAATACTTTAAAAACAATTTAAAAATTTATTTTGCATAAAAAAATAAAAGTTTAATTTTCATGATGTCTTCAGTTGAACATTGTAGTAGGAGGTAACCTAGAATAGCATCCAACTGAACAAATGTTTGACAAATTACATTCTGCTCTTTACTCCACCTATCAGACTCTTGACTTGATGATGCAAGATGACTAAACATTTTCATCAATCAATGATGAAACGAAAAAAAATCTGGATATTTAGAAACTTATAGCAGCATTCTGAACATAAAGCTAAACATTAAGCCGTGAAATAAAGAAATTTATTATCACCTGCTGTTGTAAATCATAATATTTATTTCTTGTAAAGTAGGTTTTGAAAAAGGTAACTCTTTACCTTCCATTTAGGGATATATGATAAAGTGAAGACTAGAAATACACTGTAAAACATTTTCTTTCCATCTCAGGATAGAAAAACAAGCCGCTAAGCATTCTGGGAAATACTTCCCACTCCTGTTTTTTTCTTCTTTCAGTTTTTTTAAGTGCTAACACAAATTGCTACTGTAAGTTTATCCTTCACAGACTCAAACATTTAGGTTCAAAGTGTAAAACTGGCTAAATTTATTTGACTTAAAGAGTATCAGACAGCAGACGCAACTATATGGTCTCAAATGTTTTACAGTGCCATTATGCATGCTTTTGCATTTGTCCCGACCTCATTTCTGGTTTGTGCATCAGTTTGCTTTAATTGGACCTTTAAGAAGTTAAAAATAAACAAACCTCTGGTCAGTTTTTGGTGTCATCACGTTTAAATCATCATGAAACTTGGGTCACAACCCGTGTTTGTCACCGCTGGTCTTTAATTCACAGAAAATGCTTGTTTGTTTCCTCGTGAGAACTCATGCGACCCACAAACACCAACATGACGCTGACTGTTCTGCTCAGTTCCCCTTTTCTAACCTTCGAGGTTCAGCAACGCTTCCCAAAGCGGCTTTGTCCTGTTCTGTTTGAAAGGTCGATCATGGAGCGCGCTGCTTTACCGCTCAGGTAAGAAATGTCTGTGCACTGGAAAAAGAAAACAGAGCTTAAAATTAATTAGATTTAATTAATTTATTTCATGTAGTTGAATTAAGTAGAGTTAATTTATTTATCATGACAGTGTAATAAACCTAATGTATTTATTTTTGGATTTTAAGTTGTATGACCTGTTTTCTTGTTTCAGTGAGTGATAAATACGTTTGTTTGATTTTTTTTTTATTATTATTATTTTTACTTCCTTGGATAATTCTCAAAAAGAGCTAAAATAATATTGAGTAAAAATCAAATTAGTTAAAAGTATTTCTTGGTGTCCTGTGGTGTACTTTTATTTTTACCATTACTGGCAATAATTACTTTAAAAATTTGCCTGTATGCCATTTTTATGGCACTATATTTGAGCTACATTACTATTATTCTCTTCAATAGAGATATTTATAGTTTTGCTTTAAACCAGAGCTCCTTTATCTGTTGTAACAGGTCATTTGACTCAGTAAAAAACTAAAACAAAAAAGTTACAGCACATCTTTGTAACTGGTTTATGTCTTATCTATTAGTTTAGGCTATTTATTTACTGTGACTAAAAATAAAGGAGAAGATCCAAATTCAGAGCTTTTTTAAGGTAGGAATATGATTTCAAAAACTTTGTACTTCCTCTGGCGATATTTATTGTAAAAATGGTAAGAAACCACTGTTGTGACTGTTGTAGTGATTATAATAAATGTATAATGCAGAAAAGTTGACATAAAGTGAATATTAGTTATTCTTGGGGGTCTGTTGGAAGTTGGAGCCCCTCATTTAAACCGCCAGTTTAAAACAGGTTTTCTTTCTTCTTCACAGGAACAAATCAGGATGTCACATGCAGGCTCTGAAGTCTCTGCTGTTCTACGTGTGGGATGTTTACTCCAAACCCGCTCCGTCAGGCAGCGAAATCCTTTCTCTGCTGTCTATCTGCTCCACCTTCGCCGTCTTTACCGGTGGACTGCTGCACCACTGGCTGTCACAGACTCTAAAGTACGACCATGTTGCTTCGGTCCAGACCGCCTGCTTCTACAGCGTGACCATGCTGCTGGTCTCCTTCCTGTTCCACCCCCTCCGCTGCGTTCTCACCATGACCCTTCCCACTGTGTGCACCAAACAGGGACGCAAACTCCTCATCTCGGCCTCCGTCATGATCCTGGTGCTGAATGTCATCCCTAACATCACGGTCAACGTCGGGGCGGTCGCGCGGATCCTGAAGTGCACGGCTGAGGGCTTCACCAGGACCCTGCTGAACTCGTCTGAACCCTTCAACGAAGCAAAGCGAGACCTGGTGGAGGAAGCCATCAGAGTGCAGAGGGAGGACTTGAGCATCGTCACCAATTTAAGGAAGTTGGACCATTTCACGCATGTTGACGTGTCAGAAGTCAGAAGCACGTTTTCTAATGTGATTGGTCAGATAGAGGTCAACTTCTCACATGCGAAGAACCTGCTGAGAGACTACAAGCTGCTGTCAAACCGGATCCTCGCAGCTGTTTTTGTTGCATTATTGATTATTGAATCAGCACGATACTTAAAATCCTACCTGACTTCTGTTCAGTTTGATAACAGCTTCATCGCTGCGTCTTCTGAGGGGGATGAACAGCAGCCTAAAGATAAAATCAGGGTCGCAGTCTGTAAAATAACAAGTCAGGAATGTACCTCTTCCTTCATATCTCTGGTCATTGTGACGTTATACTTTATTTCAATAACTCTAATCGTAGTTTTAGATCACGTTGTGTATCACATAGTCCAGGTGATCGTGCCGTGGGTGATGGATTTCCCACCGACGACTGCTGCTATAACTGTCAGCTATAAGGTAAAGTTTCTCCTTTTCAGCTCTACATATTTCCCCAGTTCATAATATCCTGATTTGGCTAAATTCACATTTTTTCTTCTTTTCTTTTTTAATGTACTTCCATTTTCGGTCTCAACTACTTCTAAAAACAGCCAAAGCACTTAAAAAAAACTACCCATCTGTTTTTCGACAAGAAGTTTTTTAGTGTTTGGAAAAAGTGTCATTTCAAAAACCTCCACTGTGCCGTTACCTAGCAACCCCAGCACATTACCCAGCAACCCAAGCTGAGTTTCAGGACAGTTGGTCAGCTGGATTTACTGCTGTATTCACTCTACAATGGCTGCTGGAAAAGACAAATGTTTTGTTGTTGACTTACCAGTCAGAACCAACTGCTGGATTATTCTTGGTTGTACACAAGGCTCTACTTTTGCTTTTCAAATATGTACGGTTATATAATTGCACATCTGTTTGCAGCCATTTTCACATGTGAGTGTAAACATTGAGTTGGATGGAGCTCAAAAAGCAGAATTCACCAGACTAAAATCTCATTACTGAAGAACGATTTTGTGCAAAAAATGTAATGTCCATGTTTTTTGTAGCCCATATCCTAACATTATTTAATGCTCTTCTTTTTACTGCAGGTTAACTGGTTTCCTCCTGCCCTCTGCATTATCCCTCAGTCATGTGTCACCCAGGAGCTGATCAACTTCCACAAGGACTACAAGTGGACCTTCAACCCCGAACCGTCTCTCTGTGACGTGACAACGTCAGCTCCGAAGCTGGGCGTCACTCTCCTGCTGGGATGTTTCTGGCTCATGAGCTACCTCATGGTGTTTCTCGAAGTTTACGCCAGGCGGCTTCGCAGGAACATCTGCGCGTCGTTTTTCAGAGAGCAGGAAGACAGAAGAAGAGCCTATTTGACAAAGAAATTAGAGGAAAAACAGAAGATGAGGAAGAAAAGGACGGCTAAAGCTATTAATGTTTGAATTTCTAAGTGAAATGTCCTAATTATGATAGATTTATGTTTTAGACAAAAATATTGTGTTTTTTATGTCTATTTTACTTTTTGTTTTACTTGTAATATGGATGAAAGTAACATTATCTAACCCCAAGTACAAATTAGGCTTAATAGAAAAATATGCAAACTACCATCTTCTTGGAACAGTTTAAGTAGCTTAACACAACTCTTATTAGCTTCTCAAAATTTACCACAAAATTTCAGTTTTAATGACCACTGTGGGTTAAAAATTATTTTGTTTCTTTATAACTTATTCATATTTTCACTGTT